CTCATTAAATTAGCTTCAAAGAATCAACACTGTTAAAACATTTGTACTACCCAAAGTGATCTACAGATTCAGTGCAATTCCCATTAAATTACCAAGGTCATACTTTGCAGGTCTTGAACAAATAGTTCTGCATTTTGTATGGAATCAGAAAAAATCCCAAATAGCCGACATAATTGTACAAAATACAGATCTGGAGGTATCACACTTTGCCAGACTTTAACCTGTAGTACAAGTCTATAGTGATCAAAATAGCATGGTATTGGCATAATAATAGAGACAGAGACCTGTAGAACAGAATAGAGAATCTAGAGATGAGAACCAGCCTTATGTAGCCATCTGATTTTTGACAGAGCAAATATAAGTCTACACTGGGGAAAAGAATCTCTATGCAATAAATGGTGCTGGGAGAACTGATTAATCATGTGCAAAGGACTTAAACTAGATCTACACTTCTCACCACTTATAAAAATTAATGATGGATAAAAGATTTAAACCTAATTCACAAAACTTATACAAACCCTAGAAGACTGTGTGGGAAAAACCCTTAATCTTATTGGCCTAGGGAAAAAAATTATGAGGAAGACTCCCACTGACAACAGCAACAACAAAAATAAATAAATAGGACTTGATCAAATTAAAGAGTTCCTGCACAGCTAAGGACATGATTTACAAACCAAAAAGACAATCTATCTAATAAGAGAAGGTATTTGCATGCTATTTATCAGACAAAGGGCTGATAACCAGAATCTACAAAGAACTTAAGCAAATCAATTAAAAAAAAAAAAAGCCCATTAAAAAATAGGCAAGAGCCGTGAATAGGAACTTTACTTGCAAAGACAGACTAATGGCCGACAAACACATGAAAAAATGTTTGTCTCTAATCATAAGAAAAATGCAAATCAAAACCACACTGAAATACTAACTCACCTCATAAAGAATGGCTTATATCATAAAATCCCCAAACAACAGATTCTAGTGTGTGTCCAGAGAGAGAGGAACACTTACACAATGTTGGTGGGTCTGCAGACTGGTGTAGTCTCTATGGAAGGCAGTATGGAGATTTTTAAACTGTGAAAAGTAAACCTACTACATAATTTTAGAATCCCTTTACTATTTATTTACCCAAAGGCAAAAAAAGCATTCTGTCATCAAGACTCTTGCACTTGAATGTGTATAACAGCACAGTTCACAATTGCAAAGATGTGGGAAAGACCCAAGTGCTCTTCAATATAGGAATAGGTTAATACATTATGGTAGGTGTATTTATACTGTGGAATATCATTTAGCCATAAAAAACAGAGATTATATATCTCTTGCAATGATCTGGATGGAATAGGATACCATTCTCTTAAGTGAAGTATCACAAAATGAAAAACATCACATGTGCCTGGTACAAAATTGGGACTAGTAGATTAACACCTATATGTTCTTGGGAGAGAAAACCTCATTGAAATTCAAACAATGGTGGAGGAAGGGGAAAGGGAGGTGGTAAATTCTCACCCCATGGGTACATTGCACAAGTATTTGGCATACTACTTGGGAATAGGACATACCTACAAATCGGACTTGAACCTTGTGGTATCTGTTTGCATCCCCACATTAATCTAAAATTCAAGAAAAAAAATTTTCTGTTTCAATTTTTAATGGTAAATATTGATAGAGTACACACACACACAAAATAAAAGGGTTTAGAGACCAAAAAGTTTGAGAACCTCTGATCTAGATGAGAAGCAGGTAACTAAATTATCACATAATTATAATACATTATGACAAATTCTGTGGTAGAAATAAACTGTGGGTGCAGTGGAAACGCAGTAGGAGAAGTATACCCAGCCTAAGGAAGTCCTAGAAGGAGATGGCAGAGTTGGGTAGGAATTATCCAGACAGAGGAGGAAAGGCACTGGGGAGCTATAGAAGGAAGAGAGTTACGGGCTCAGAGATGCTTTTTAGAGATAGCTTACCATGGTAGTTGGGTGGTAAATAAGAGGCTGTTAAACAGAAAAGATAAAATGTGTTTTAAAATATTCAAATGTATTGTTTCAAAATAGCCATAGTCACCAACTGTGGATACTCAATGATGTGTGTTGCCTACCATACCAGGCACTGTAAGATACATACAATAAGTACTATGAGTCCTTTTCCTCAATGAGTCTATCATTTTAATTTTTCTAAAGCATGAGATAAAGGAGTGAGTATGATATATTTTGGGGAAGAGTATAGGGGAAACACTAGGTTTTTAAAATTGGAAAAGGAAAGCATGAACATGAATTTAGTCAGCTGAATTTCACTAAAGGGTATTTGTGACTGTTGCTTTTTAATTGGACAGCTGGATTCTTTGTGATAATGACTGAAGGAGCTTAATAATAATTTATTAAGAAAATGCCTTATTAGACTGGGTTGCTTTAAGTCAACTAGATTTTCCAGCTAAAAAATTTTTACCAATAGTTTGTGAGGTTTTGATATTTTTTTCACTACATATTTTCCAGACTGTTGTGTGGCCTGAAATTTTTTATTCTAAAATATTAATGTCAAGCTCATACACTGGGGCTGGTGGGATTGAACCTGGCCCAGGCCTGCTAAACAATGACAACTACAAAAACAAAAAAATAGCTAGGCGTTCTGGTGGACACCTGTAGTCCCAGCTACTTGGGAGGCTGAGGCAAGAGAATTGCTTGAGCCCAAGAGTTTGAGGTTACTGTGAGCTGTGATGCCACAGCGCTCCATCGAAGGTAATATAGTGAGACTCTGTCTCAAACTAATAATAATAATGATAATAATGTTGAAAAGTAGAATAACTATGTATATATACATATGATTGGTTGGTTATTTTTGTCATTGATTACTAGGTCCATTCTTAAATTTCTTATTTCTTTTAATGTATAACTTAAAACTTTGAAGGATATTATTACAATATGGCCTGTCTTTTAAAATTATGATTGCATGCTAGTATATTAAGTAAATGTGAACCCTCTTATATTCTTTCATCTTAAGAAAAATCAAATAAAGTAGATCAAAAACTAAAATAAATTTTTAAAGGAACTTGTATTTTTTATAAATCATAATAAAACAGCCTAATTTCCCATGCCTTTTCATGGGACATTATGAAGGAAATATAAAGAAATGTACATTCTTTTTCTTATGGAAAAGTTGTTTTTCTTTATTGGATTGCAGTCCTACACTAGATTATATGAATTCTTCTGCTTCTTTGTTTTGAAGTTATCTATTGATGTGTCTGGTTTGGCACCATACAGGAGTCAGAAGGACTGTACTATTTTCACCATTGACGCTACCACCAAACACTGTGGCTAACATTTGGGAATGTTGGTTGAGTGAAAGCATAAAGCACTATAAGAAAAACACTGTCTTTCCCCCCCTTACTGTGTATAGGAGTTGGAGGAGCTTTAGAAAATGACGATCCTTCCAAAATGGTTATGGTGTTGGCGGCTACTAATTTTCCATGGGACATTGATGAAGCTTTGCGAAGGAGATTAGAAAAAAGGATATATATACCACTCCCAACAGGTATGATGCCTTTCTTCAACTATATTTCAAGCCTTTTGTTACTTTCTGGTATTTTTTTCTGTTTATCCAAATCTTTATTATCATTCTCCTTAAACAAAGTTGATGCCATCACAAAATCAATGAGGTAGATGAAAACAGAGACCACAGTACTCTTTTGATATTCCTTACATTTCAGAAATGCTTATATTCAGAGAAATGTCACTGTTAATAAATTTGGTAGCACTTTTAAATTTTACTTATAAACCTCATGAGTCTTTATTAAACATCATTTAAGTGATTAAAGATAAAATTATCTTGGGATCATTTTCACAGTATGCTGCTTTGGAAAATATAATTTCATCCTGTTAATGCATGTTGAAATTTCTGAGTGAATTTTTTTTCTTCCAAATTTTTAAAAATTTATTATTTAATTAATTTTTTTATTATTTCAGCTTACTTTGAGGATTTGAGAATTAGGTTATAATGTTTACATTTGTTAGGTACAGTCCCTCTTATATCCTGCCTCCAAGAGGTGTCCCATATATCCCATTAAGTGGGAGCACAAGACATTATATCCCACATATATCCCATTAATGGGCATAAGACATTGTGCCCATCAAGTGGGAGCACATCCCTTGTTTTTATTTTCAAATAAAATTTACAAATATAGAATTCTACATATCATAAGTATATAATTTGATGAATTTTGACAAATGTATACTTCTGTTTAACTGATACTCTAATCAAGAGATAGAACATTCTATCACCCTACAAAGTTTCTTTGTGCTCCCACCAGTTAATTCAAACCTATTTAGGTATTCACTTTACCTGTTTTTTTATCACCATAGATTAGTTTTGCCTCTTGCTAAACTTCATGTACATATAAATGGAATCACGACAGCATATATTCTCTGTATCTGCCTACTTTTAGTTAAAATAATATTTCTGAGATATATCCGTGTAATTGCATATATTAGCAGCTTATTCTTAGTATGATTACACAATTTGTTTATTCTCCTTTTGATGGGCATTTGTATTATTTGTAGTTTTTGACTATGATGAATAAGGCTATACATCTTGCATAAATCTTTTTATGGATGAATATTTTTGGTTCTTTTGGGTAATACAATAAGAATAGAATAGATGGGTCACAGGGCAGATGTATGTTTAGCTTTGTAAGAAATACCCGAAGTGTTTTCCAGAGTAGTTGTACCACTTTATATTCCCACAATCAATGAATAAGAATTTTAGTAATTCTACATATTTGCCAACATTTGGTATTGTCAGTATTTTAATTGTAGTCATTCTGGTAAATATAAAATGGTATCTCATTATGGTTTTAGTACGTTTTTCTCTGTTAAGTTATAATGCTGAGTACTTTTTCATGTGCTTATGGTCATTGGTATATTTTTGTGTAATGTCTTTAAAAGTCTTTTACCCTGTTTTTAATTTGGGTATGTGTTGTTTCTTTAAAGCTTTATATATGTTTTTCTCAGATGTGTACATTATGAATATTTTCTTCCATTTGTAATTTGCATTTTAATTTTCTCTATGATCTTTTGATAAGTAGAAATTTTTGATTTTAATCAAGTCATCAAGTTTTTCTTCTATGGGTAGTGCTTTTTTTGTCTTAAGAAATTTTTGCTTACCCCATGGATGCAAAGTTTTTTTCCTATATTTTATTTTGGAAACAATATTTGGAGATTTCCTCTTAAATTAATTTTTCTTTTTCTTTTTGGCTGGGCCTGGGCTTGAACCACCACCTCCAGCATATGGGGTCAGCGCCCTATGAGCCACAGGCGCCACCCTTGAATTAATTTTGTATGTATGTGTGTCAGGTAGGGGATTGAGTTCTATTTTCTTTATATGTATATCCAGTTGTTTTACTTTCACTTATTGAAAGAATTTTTCTTGTTGAATTATTTTGGTACCTTTGTTAAAAATTATTTTGCTGTGTATGTTGGGTCTATTTCTGAATGTAATTTTGTTCCATTGATTTTTTTAAAAATAGCTATAAGACTGTTCAAATTAATCTATTTCTTCTTAGGTATACTTTGGTAGCTTGTGTCTTTCAAAGAATGTGTCCATTTCCTCTAAGTTGCCAAATTTATTTGGATTTGACCTAATACAAATATGGAGGCTGGCAAAAGAGTTTATGTGTGGTTGTGGATTTCATTTCTGGTTCTGAAACTTGAAACTGGTAGAGAGGACACTGAGGAAGAGAAGATAAATGTGAAGTGGTGTAAGTAAAGACATACCGTAACCTGTGAGGAAGAGCTGAAATGCATGAGGATAGATTGGAACCCATAAGACCCTTATTTCCTCTTAAGATTTCCAACCAACTTTAATAAATGGGAAGAATAAGCTGGCTAAATGTTTATCTGGCTCGGGAGTCATAAAAGAAAGATGACAGGAGCCAGCAAGAGCTGGAGGCACAAGTGCTGCCCCACACTAACAGGGTGAACCAATAGATAAGTGACAGTATGCATCAACATTCTGAGTTTATTTTTGCCTTTCAAATCTCGCACATAATGATTCATGTGGTCAACACTAATTCAGAGCTATTCAGTGAAGAGGATTTGGGGAAATGAAGTTTCAGCTTAAGTTGGCATAATACAAATCTACACTACCTTATTTTCCTTTTAGGATCTGTAATGATGGCTTATTTTTTGCTTCTAATATTAGTAATTTATTTTATCTCTATTGTTCTTAAGCACTTCTGCTAGAGATTTATCAATATTATTAATCTTTACAAAGGACCAAATTTTTCCTATGGTAATTTTCTTTTTTCTATTTCATTGATTTCTCCTCTCACTTTTATTTTTTCTCCTTTATGCTTTATTCTTTTTCTGAAGTTAGAGACTTAGATTATTGATTATAAACCTTTCTTCTTTTTAAAATGTAAACATTTTAAAGTTATAAATTCCTCATTAAGCACTGCTTTGGCTTCACCCCAGAAATTTTGCTATATCATATTTTTTCTAATATTTTTTAGAAATATTTTCTAAATTTTCTTTTTCTTTCTTTGGCCCTTGGGTTATTTAGAACTGCCTGGTTTATGATCAGATATTTAGAGATTTTCTAGGTATCTATGCTTGATTTCTAATTTAGTTCCATTATACTCAGGCATAGACACTGTAAGATGTAAATTTTTGAACACTTTATGACTCAGCATATAGTACGTCTTGGTGAGTGCTCCAGTTGCAGTTAAATAGAGTGTTTATTCTCTGCTTGTTATAATATTCTATAAATGTCAGTTCCTGATGGTATGGTAATATTCAGTCTTTATAATCCTTGCTAATATTTTCAGTCTTGTTTTTCTATCAACTATTAAGTGTGTTTTATACAAATCTTCAACTGTGACTGGGAACTTGTTTATTTTTCCCTTTAATTCTGTCAGTCTTTGTTTCATACTTTGCTTTGCACATTTTAAAGTTCTTTTATTGAGTACATAAATAATTATCATTATCATATTGTTTTGCTCCTGTTATTATGAAATACCCCTCTTTATTACTGATAATGTACTTTGGCGTGCACTCTGCTTTGAGATCAGTATCGCCTCAGTATCTTTCTTCTGCTTACTGTTTGCATTACGTATTTGCTTCTTTAATTTTCATCCTCTTTATATTTACAGTATAGTTCTTGTAGACAGCATGTAGTTGGGTATGCTATTTAGTCTATCTCTGCTTTTTAATTGGAACATTTACTTTATTTAAATTTAACATGATTATTTATACGGCTATGTTTAAATCTGACCTTTTGCTATTTGTCCTGTTTGTTTCTGGGTACCTCCTTTCCTGATTTTTTTTTTGGGTTAATTGGCTAATTTTTACTATCCATTTTAACGTCATAAGAATTTTGATTATATCTATTTATTTTAATAGTGTCTCTAGTGGTTATAGTATACATAGTTGTATTTAGTTACTTTTTTAATTCTTTTATCTTTTAAATTGTATACCTAAATTAAAAGTGATTTATGCACCACCATTAGAGTACTCTGTTTCTTTATATATTTAACTTTTCCAGAAGAATTTATATTTTCATTTACTTTTGTGTTGCTGGCTGACATCCTTTTGTTTTAGCTAACAGTGTTATAAATAGCAGTCTATTGGTGATAAACTCCCTCAGCTTTTGTTTATCTGGAATGGTCTTTATTTCTTCTTCATCTTTGAAGGGCCATTTTACCTGGTATAACGTTCTTAGTTAATAGACTTTTTCTTTTAGTACTTTGAGTATATTATGCCACACCTTTCTGGCTTATAATGTTTCTAATCAGAAATTTGCTTATAATCTAGTGGATCCACTATACCCTAGTGGATGACAAATACTGTTTCTCTGCCTGCTTTCAAGATTTCTTTTTGTCTTTGAATTTTGTCAATTTGATTATAATGTGTCTCAATTTGTTCTTTGTTATGTTCATCCGACTTGGATTCGGCCTTCCCGAGTCCTAGGATTACAGGCTTGAGCCACCGTGCCCAGCAAGAGCTTCTTGAATTCAGATGTCATTTTTCTTTCTCGTACAGGCATACCTCACTTTATTATATTTTTGTTTATTACACACTGCAGATAATGCTTTTTTTTCAAATTGGAGGTGTGTGGCAACCCTGTGTTGAGCAAGTCTATCAGCACTATTTTTCCAAGAGCTTGTGCTCACTTTGTGTTTCTGTGTCACATTTTGGTAATTCTTGCAATATTTCAAGTGTTTCATTATTGTTATATCTGTTCAGATGATTTGTTTGATCAGTGATCTTTGATATTACTGTTGTAATTGTTCTAGAGTGCCATAAATTGTGCCCATATAAGATAGCAAACTTAAGAAATGTGTATCTTCTGACTGCTCCACTGAATCAACATTCCTCCCTCTCTCTCCTTTTCTGGGGTCTCCCAATTCTCTGAGATTATTGAATTAGGTTGTTTAATAATCTTACGGTAGTTTCTAAGTGGTCAAGTGAAAAGGAAGTATCACACCTCTCTCATGTGAGTTCAAAAGCTAGAAATGAATATGCTTAATGGGGGAGGCA